ATTAAAAATACCCCTAGGCATAAATCAATTATTTAAAATCTATTTTTTATTGATTTTCAACTTCTTTTGGATATGCTTTATTTAATCATGCTTTAAATATACTTTTCATATTTTATTAGATTTTTATATTTTTTTAATATATTTTTTTACCGCCCGAGACTTGTCCAATTAGACCGATTGAACCAGCCGCTTAACCGATTAGTACTGGGTAACCACTTCCTGGATAATTGTTCCAGTTTGATTTTTTCTATACTAAACGGGATGACCTGACCATACTTTTAATTACTAGTCATACAAGAGAATTATTAACTCCATGTATCATTGATCTAAAACTCATAATCGGGTCCTGGACTGCTCCCCGATTCGTAGGATCTAGGTTGGCCAAATGATAGAAAATTGATACAACAATCATAAAAAATGAAAATTAAGGGAACTTGCCGTTTTTTTTTTCAGGGGCTGGGGGAGTGATTGCTAGGATTAGGGGTATTAATAGAACAGGCCTGTGGGCTGGGCCTCGGTAGGTTTGACATATTTGTGGGCCAGGCTGGGCTAGCAACAACCATGCCCGGGCCCATCTATAAAAGCTTTTCTGAAAAACATTTTGCGATTACATATGGCCCGGCCCAATGTTTTGGGTCTAGGCCAAAATCGGGCCACACCGCCATGATTTCAAGCCGGGCACAAATTCCAATTTTTGGCCCCCAGTTGAGACTTCCCTATATGGTTTTCGGGCCAGGTTTGAGCCTTGCCCATTAACACCCCTAGCTAAGATCTCCCTCCCACCATATCCAATCATGATGGACAATTCTCAATTCAGACGGCTGGATTTTAAAATGCTAAGTTTTCCATTTAATTCCCCCAAATAATAATAATAATAATAGTAACCCTAATGTTCAATCTTTTCTTATTGCTATTCATAATTTCATCTTGTAGAAGGGATTTAAATGTGGTGATTTCCAAGGACCTTAAAAATGCCCTCATATGGACCGGTAATTGAGAGCCGAGACTCGCCTCTAAAAATTATTGAAAAACATTTATATAAGGGTGATGCCCTAAACAATCAAACTAAGGTGCACCCTCACAAGAAGATGTTGTTTTGATGCCAAACTCCCTCAATTCGATCATCTCAACCTCAAGATTTATGGACAAGAGAAAAAATAGATTTCAAGTTTTAGAAACAGGTGCACATTGTAATGTATTATCTAGACTGTCAATTATCAAGTTTTTCAATTGCTCATAAATCTACTCGATCTATACTTTTTAGATATTTAAATTTTATAATTAGAGATGAAAATAATTTTCCAAGTCATCATAAAAAATTTTGTACTAAAACAATATATTTCGGGACTTTTTGAATGTGGGCCTTACTTTGATTTGTTAGGGCCTCAGCCTTATAAAAACCACACCCAAAATTATTTGGATGATATATATACACACACGAGAATACCCTGAACTCCATTTTTATATTTCCCGTACAAGAAAAGGGGGACTTGTCTAAAATTTCAAACCGTCCAAATGAGATGAAAGAACAAAAAATGACTCCATTCTCTTTTTCCTATTTTTTTTTTTTGTGGTGGTGGTTTAATGATAGGAATGGACCTTGACTTGATATCAATGGCTAGCCACTTAAGCCTCAAGCTAATTCCTACGTATTCGGAATTGTTTTATTTATTTTTGGGTAAGTAAGTGGAGAAGAAGTGTACGTCTACCCATTATTCGGAATTGTTTTATTTATTTTTGGGTAAGTAAGTGGAGAAGAAGTGTACCTCTACCCATTTTTCATTAATAGAAAGAAAAGCAAAATACAACTCATAATTTAGCAACCCTAAGTTGTGCAAGATGAAGCAGTAAAAGTGGGTTAAGAAAGTGATGGTCTTGCATGTCAAATGGTGGAGTGATGAAAAAAATGCATGTTCATGTGCCATAACACAAATTATGAAGATTTGGAAAGGCTGCCTAATTTCGTCGAAAGAGGTTGATTTGTTACGTTGATGAAAAGCTTTCTCACAAAACCTAACCCAACCCAACCCCTCAGTGCGGGGGGATAGAGAGTACACACCAAGTCCTGCATATTAGGATAAGACTTGAGAGCCATTATGTAATGGGCACGTGAGAAATAAACGGTCAAGATTTCGTAGCATTAGAAGTCTTAGTTAGATACGTGTGGGTCTCCTAACTTCCAGCTTCTTGGGCAACCATGTGATTAAGTGCAGGTATACTATACTCCTGCGGGGGTATACTGTGCATCTACTCCCTCGCCCAAAACACTTGAAAAAATTGTTTTAGTCTAAAATTTTGAGAACCATATAAGAATTAGTCAATAATGATTTTCAAGAAACAAAATTTGAATTTTGAATTCTGTGATACTTAGATCTAGCCCTTCAAATTTTGGACGGTCTTGATTCAATCTTGAGGCACTATTTTTTTCTAGTACATATAGAATTTATTTGGGATTTTTGTTTGGGATTGAGTTGTTAGAGATTACTTAAATTTTTCAAATTTAAGTGTTTTGAGCAAGGGAGTAATGCATAATATCGTCCCCCGCACGAGCATATATACTTGGTCCTAAAAAATATTGTGGCTCAAAAAGTGGAAGTTAGGAGACTCACACGTATCTAAGACTACTCTTGACTTTTATTTGTCACGTGCCATGTCTCTCAAGACTTATCCAGGACTTGGTTTGTACTCTCTATCCCCCACACTAATGGGTTTTGTGAGTATTTCGGGCAACCACCCGTAATTGGCATTTGATAGGGAAACAGTCATGAGATGAGGCTTTATTTACTTTTGATAGGGCTGCAGCCACATGTTAGGAATACTTTTTAGATCTCAACTTTCTCTACAACTCAATCTCAACAAAATTCCCAAATAAACTCTGTATGTACTAAAATAAATTGTTATTGAGTCGAGACCGTCTAAAATTTGAAGGGCTAGATCTTTGTATCACAAAATTTAAAAATTCAAAGTTTTTTCATTTGAAAATCATCATTATGGCTCCTAAAGTTTTAGACTAAAACTATTTTTTCCAATAAGTGTTTTGAGCAAGGCAGTAGATGCACAGTATCCTCCTGCACGAGCATATATACTTGCTCATAAAAAAATTGTGGCTCAAAAATTGCAAGTTAGGAAACCCACATCGTATCTAGGACTTTCGCATACTATGAAATCTTGACCGTTTATTTCTCACGTGCCCATTACATAATGCCGACTGCACCCTATCAAAACAAGAGAAGCTTTACCTTATAACCCATCAAATATTGCAAGTATTGAAATTTTTTTATATCGATTGCTTAAATATTATGGTTAAAAAAAAATTAGGATTTCATGCTTCAAAAATATTGTACATTGTAACAAATTATCTTGGCCGCCCATTTTGCCCTAAAAATGAGAGTTCAAAGATCAATAAGATCTGTACATTATTTTAGCTTCAAATTTTATTATCCATGTTACAAAATGATTTTAGAGCCAACATGGAGATTTTTGTTACCAAAGGTGTTTTCGGAATGAGGATTTGAGATGAGACTTTATTTTGTTTTCATAAAACCAAGGTCTTATAGAAACTTCATCCATATATATCAAATTGGGTATATATAATGCGTCAGTAATAACGTAAGTGGAAAAAACCTTTGGACAACGAGTTGATTGGAGACTTCAATTCATATAAGTAACTTGTAATAGTTATGAATGTGAAATAGGTTTAGTATATTGGAAAAAACGAACACTACCATAGTAGCAACTGGAAATAATGTTTTCATAAAGACTGAAGGGAATTGAATAAACACATTTTTCTTTTTCTTTTCTTTTTTCCCTGTTTTTTGGGGGGTGGGTTAAAAAGGATCGGATAAACACTAAAATAAACACTAAACACAAATTAACACTCAAGACATGCGGGCTTTTCACGAAACTTGATCCCCTATGAATATAACGTTTTGAAACGTTCAAACCCTATGAATATTGACTCCCCATTGTAATTTGCCTATAAATTCAAACCCAACCCTTAACTGCTTCTTGTGCTCGAAGTTTCATAACTCTTAGACCTGCACACAATTAATTCTCTCTCTTTCTTTCTCTAGGCTCCACAGTTAAATCCACAATAAAGCTCCTCCTCTCTCTCTCTCTCTCTCTCTCTGTGTGGTTCTTTTAGAGAGATTGAAGATGCATGATTTGTTGAAGTGCCTCTTGGGCATATGCCAAGCTAAAGCTCCAATAGAGACCTCATCAACAACGATGATTGAAGGGTGGTTAGTGCTTAAGAAGAAAAATGTTTTGGATTTTAACGATTTCCACCTCTCCTTTCTTGATAACTTGGACGAATTCTTGGGCAAAAGGGTCTCCCTGCAACTTGTTAGCGCCACACACGCTGATCCAGGTACTAATCACAATCTCAATCTCTCTCTCACCAAAAGATATTGTACTCTCTTGGGAGTATATTCTGTCTATTTACTCCCCTCGGTAAGATCCCATGTGGATTTGATTTTTAGGACCCTACACATAGATTGACTTCCATAAAAAGAAAATCCTGGACTTCCATAAACAGAAAATCCTAGTTGAACCTTCTAAGCACTTTGAAAAAGAATAATGTCTCAATATTACATATAAATTGTCTAATTTTTAGAGGGTGAGATTTAAGTATAAAAAAACTCAAATTTCAATTTTTTTTTTATTTTGAGAATAATCATCTAGTGAATCTTATGTGGTTGCCAAATTTCAGCTCAAAAAAAATCTGTCAAGTAGGTCTTTTGACCGAGGGAGTAGAAGTAAACTATACTCATTCCTATAAAGTATAAACCTGCCACTCAACTGGCTCTCTTCGAGAGTGACCCAACTGCAAAACCTACCACTATTTAGGGGTGGGAGTGGGTTGGGCGGTCAATCCCAACCTAGACTTGACCCGACCTGGTCTAAGTTAGACATGGATCCGACTTAGACCAGGTTCCGGTTCAAGTCAATTGGACCCAAACATGACTCATGGGGTTCAATTGTGCCTAGATCTATAAATGAAAGTATATAAAATGTAAATATATAAAAAATAATTTTTATATGTTATATAACAATTGTTTTATATATTTCGTACTACATAATTTATATTATTTATATGCAGTTTATAACAATATATTCGTGTTGGGCTGGCCTCGACCCAAACCCAATATGATTCATGGTCGACCAGGTCACCTGAAGCACAACTTATTTTGCATAACTCTCTCTCTTTCTCTCTTATTTATGCTTTAACTCTCCAAAAAAATAAAAGAACAAAAAAAAAAAAGAACAAAAAAAAGAAAGAGGGAGACCTTCTCCTTAAAAAAAACAAAAGAACAAAAAAAAAAAAAAAAAAGAACAAAAAAAAAAGAAGAGGGAGACCTTCTCCTTAAAAATCCCTTTTACTCTTTTAGCTACAAGAAATTATATAATAGTACACTATATTCAAATTGGGGAATGAATTCATGTAACGGTTTTATAATGGTATAATACAACCACATCTTTAGAATACTATGTTTTTGCCATTTGTATGACCCCAAATTGTGTTCACACATTCTTTTCATCCTCATCATCAATCTCACCAAAATAAAATTCAATTTGCACCCTAGACATGGTCAAAATTAGTACCCTCCAGCAATGAATCTCGACTGTCCATTTGGTGAAATTCATGATCTACTCCTTGACAAATTCTAAATCACTTTTTTCTTTTTTAGCATTGTCAATCTAATGATGATAACACTACATAAAATTTTGGGAATAAAAAAAATCCCTATAAGGCCTATATATCTAACCATCTCACTAAAATTGACTGCTTATATTAATTGGGCTAGAAAAACACTCTCTATGAAAATTTTTCAAATTTTTTTTTTTTTTTTTGTGATTGTTCTTTAGAGTTAAAAGAATGTACATTTAAAATTTTGTGTCAAACAAATATCTCTAACATGGTTTTTGAAGATGATTGCATTATACTACTATACAATCGTTGCATGAAATCATACCCCATTAAAACTATGTCATAGAGTTTATAAAAATATAATATACAATACTATTATAATAAAAAATAGTACATCTAAAATATTGGGGCAGGGTAAGGTCATGTCATGTCGGTCAACCTAGACTTGGACCTGACAAGACCCGACCCAACCTGACTTGTTGTTAGGTCCCTACTTCAGGTCCAAAAATAGGACCTAGACCTAGATTCAAGTTAGGGTCGTCCATTTTATGAGTCGACCAGACCCACCCCGACCACCACCCTCCTCTCCTCTAAAAAACATGAATAAGTGTTTTGAAATGTATATTTGATTTCAGAGAGGGGATTGAAAGGAAAGCTGGGGAAAGCCGCATACCTGGAGGAATGGAGCAAGAAACACGATGGGCTTGCTGTTGGGGAAGCCCAATTTATTGTCAATTTCGAGTGGGATGAGAGCTTTGGCATTCCTGGTGGCTTTATAATAAGGAACGAGCATCATGCCGAGTTCTATCTCAAGGCTCTCACCCTACACCATGTTCCTGGGAAGGGCAGGGTTCACTTTGTCTGCAACTCTTGGGTTTACCCCGCCAAGAAATACAATTCGGATCGCGTCTTCTTCTCCAATGAGGTAGGCTGAGAGAGAGAGAGAGAGAGAGAGAGAGAGAGAGAGAGAGAGAGAGAGAGAGAGAGAGAGAGAGAGAGAGAGAGAGAGAGAGAGAGAGAGAGAGAGAGAGAGAGAAGAGAGAGAGTAGAGTAGAGAGAGAGAGAGTAGTAGAGAGAGAGAGAGAGTAGAGAGAGAGAGAGAGAGA